ATTGAATCAGTGCTTGGCACTGCTTGAGTAAATCTCACTCACATCATCTTTAATTAGCATTAGTAATGCTTTATCTGTTCTTTGCCTGAAAACAAACCAGATGGTTTGAAATGTGTGTGCAGCACAAGAGCAATGTTCGATTGTTGGGTGTGGGGGGGGGGGTTTGGCAGGGAAGTCGAGCAGAGAGGGCTGGAATCCGTGCTGGCGATGAGCTAATGGCTGTTGTTTCATCTCAGAACAAGCACGCACTGACAGTTCAGGGAAAAGGTGATTTATAGACCACAGTCACTGTCATGGCGTGTCAAAACTGGCTCACGGGAAATCGGAACAAACAGGGGCAGAGCAAGAAAGAAAGAAAAAATTCTTCTTTCAAATAAATAGTTGCAGTTCTCCAGATTGTTTTCGCTCTCTCATTGTTGATGTGTTCTGTGAGACGCTATCTTTTGGTCTTTGTGATTTACGCACACTATATTTCTGTGGCCTAATGAAGCTGAGCCAGAGGTAAAAATTCACAGTCTGTGTGACCCATTTAGAAAGCCTATTAACATAATATGATATAGAGTAATAGCATATTAGTTGGAACATATGTGAAAGCCCGAAGGACAATCAAAAACTTTAGGAAAAGGTCGTTTATCTCTTATAAAGAAATCCAAAAGCAACAAAAAAAACAGTTTTCGTATGTAACCACCAGCATGCTGAGCAGACTGTAGACAACTGAATGCATTGTTTTTCACAACCAGGAAGAGTCACAGAGGACGAGAAGGTTGATTTGTACCACACATAAGCTATTAGAAGCCCTTGAGCTATTGTGCCATATGGTGGACTATTCCATGTGGGTTAAAGCAGAGGGAGGGAGGGGGCTGTGAGGTGGGCTCCTAAACGTCTGGTCAGGCAAGATGCGGGATGGATTATGGCTAATGCTTTGTATCTTTGGCAACACATTTGTATGCGGCTTTGTAGTCTTTGGAGGTGCACTTCAGCAACTTCTGACTTACATTTAAGGCACTTCATCACATTGTTATCCCTGTTCATTGCACATCTCTGTTTTCTTATACTTTGTGTTATGAGTAAGAAATTTAGTCAAATGATACCTCTCATAGCAATCGAAGCTTGTCTTAAGGATGAGAACAGACTCTTGTTCTGCGCCAGTTTGCCTCAGTGTTGGTCGTCCTAACAGAGTGTCAGGTCCTATGAAACCAAAGGCGCGACTATCCCAGAGAGAGAGAAAAAAAGAGCAAGAATGAAGAGGACGGGAGAGCACAGAGAGATAGAGATTGCCTGACATACTAAGCATTACCATAATTGGCTTTTCTACATGATAGGACAGAGGAAATAATAATGTCATTTTATTTACAGCCTTCTCTCTGCCCAAACACACACACACTCATGCATGGCGTACAGGTCAATGACACACACTGATCAGGCCTGTCCAAAGTCATCAGAGGTGAGTGGCAGCGAATGGAGGGGTCGGTGACAAAGCGAAACGGGAGAGAGAAATAAGACTGCCACGCCAAAGCTCCCATTTTGAAGGGACACTAAACGGCGTGAGGGGGGAAACTCGCCAGTCACCCCCGCTCCGAAATCCAGCGCTCGGCCATGCAGGGTAAATCAGCAGGGTGAAAGCTGGCGGAATTGGACATTAGCACTGCAAATGAGAGCCAGGATTGCCCTCTTCTCTGAGACAACATGAATAAATGAAGACGGTTCGTAGGGAAAAGTGTGTGCTTGTTGTGTGTGAACTGTAGAGTCCTGGAGAGTTTTGTTCATTATGCAATGGAAAAACTTGAGTTATCTCTCCCAGTATCGTCTTTTTGAACTGGTCAGTTTTTTCTGACATAAATGAAGTATTTCTCAATTTGCCATGGAAATTAAAGCAAGTTGTAATTATTGGTGCTTTTTTGTTTTACAAGTCATACTCATACTCAAAATTTAAAATACATCCAGATCTGATTTTAATGTATTTCTTCCTTTACTTTGAGTTATTAGGAAAAAATGTATCCAGTCTTAGTTAGGAAGGTTTAATATTCCTTAATTATTTAAAGAAAAACAGCTGTATCCACTGTCCTGTCTCTAAATAAAGGCAGAAAGAGCTTAAAAATAAACCTTAATAAAAAGTGCAAGTGTACTAGAGTTGCTCAACGTCTTTAGCAATGGTCACATTTTAATTTGCATCCAAATTTATGCCAATACTGTGTTTTCTCAATTTAGACATTATTTTCCCTTTAAATCAGTAACAAATTGAGGTGTAGTGTGTGTATGTATGTGTGGACCGCACACAGTTTCCTGCCTCAGGGAGGGTTGTCGTTTGGGGGAGAGGGGCTTGTGTGTGTGTGTGTGTGTGTGTGTGTGTGTGTGTGTGTGTGTGTGTGTGTGTGTGTGTGTGACTGTGTGACTGGGGAATGTCCCACTGTGGTGTCACCTGTCTGCAGCAGGAAATCCTGGACTCTGGGCACAACAATAGTGACAGGCCTCCTCTCACAACGCAGATGGCTTTGCTCCCCCCCCCCGCCAGCCACACATTGCATCCCTGCATGCACCTGACACACCATGACACTTGAGACAATCACACACACACACACACACAAACCCACAAACAAATAAATGATAAGCCACAGATCGTAAACACACCTAAAATATCAAAAATGTAAAAAAAAGGAATAATAATATTAGCTTTTTCTGTCTGCATACCCTGCACTTTGTTAGCTGGAAGTTGTTAAACTTGTTTCTCCTTCATGTTTTTCTCTGAGATACACACACACCTCTTGTTCGTTGGACTCCACATCTTTTCTCCTCTCTTTTCTAAAACTTCCCCTCTTTTTCCTATCCTCCCTGACAGCACAAAGTGGGCTTACGTTTTTGACTGACAACCACAACAGACACCTCTCCCCCATCCTCCTCCCCTTCCACACCCGTTTTAATCCCCTCCCTACCCCTCTCTCCCTCCCTCTCCTCTTCCTCTTTTGTTCTGAGTGACGCTGGAAAGCTGCCGTGTCAGCATCTTTTCCATCTCTGATTGCCTTATTAGCCGGCAGTGGCACCCGCAGCTTTTCTGACACAGATGGTGAAGGAGGAGGAGGGCGAAAAAAATGGCTGACTTGTGTTTGTTGTTGTTGCTTTCCCCTCCCACCCTCCTCTCTGGGTTGTTTGTGTGGACACTGACACCTCGGGCCGACACTGACACACTCCTGACACTGATGCCTGTCAAGTCAACATATACGGAGGATGGCAGGGAAAGAGTAGAATTTAGTGTCAGTGTGCTCTTCGTGTGAGTATGTGTGTGTGTGTTTGTGGTGCTGTCAGGTTTCCCTCACTTTGTCAGCTAAGCTGCTTTGTCTTTAACTCCTCTCACCACATTGACTTTGAATAGGTTTAGTTTTGCATTTATTTCAATTCAGTGGGCTGCATCTCGATAAGGATAAAGAAGACAGGTTGAAAGAAAGCTGTGCAGCTGCGTTGGCAAAAGGTTAAAATCCACTAATTTAGTGGATGACACCAGTGAGTGATTTAACTGTGGCCTGTGTTTAATGAAAACCTTACAATTAAAAGCAAAATTAGCAAAGGAACAGTTTGATTAAAAACAGAAAGGCTGAGCATGTCTCTCACACACACACACACACACACACACACACACACACACACACACACACACACACAAGGCAGAGAGTTGCAGCTGTTGGTCCTCCAGCTTTTCCCAGGCAGCAGTAACTGGCACCTCACAAACATCAGGTATTATGTCCATTCCGATTATGGGATAGAGCGCTACATGCTGTTTGAAGCTGACAGCACATCTGCCTCCTCACTGGAGACTGATTCTGGCACGTCAGACAAGCATCTTACGAGGAATGGATTGAGGGAGCTGCCTTAGCATATTTAACCCCCTATTTTTTCTCTCTCCCTGCCTATCTGTAATATTTCTCTCTTTATCTGCTACCGGGATAATATTTAAACGTTTCAACTTTTTGTTTCTAGCTCTTAATTTTTCTATTATTAACCTCTGCAATCTGAAGATAAGAATAATTTTAACACAAGTTCTCAGAACAAGTGATTTGTTGAATTGGAAGACAGTTACAAAAAAGTAGACAGCCATTTTCCATTGATACCATCAATTTCTGTGTTCCTTTAAAATGGCACACTTGAAGCTGTGGGTACTCGAGGAGCACAGGCAGTAACAACACAGCCTGTCATGTCCACTGGCCGTTTCCTAGCATCACGCTGTGAGGACTTCCACAGCCGATGCCAAGTTGACTCCAGCCAACCATGGCTTGGCAAGGCAAATACAGCTGGCATTTTCCTCCACTATCTCTTACTTTTGAATCCATAGCATGTGTGGCATGTTGAAGAAATAGATCCATTGCCACCATATAGCAGCAAAATAGAAAATGAAACACCCAGCATGCACTATTTGGCTGTATGCTGCTGTTGCGTTTGAAATTGCTGATAAGAAATGTATGCACAAGACAGTAAATTAATCTTATTTAATCATTGGTACCACTCTGAGCATTTTTTGAAGACAACATCAAACTGAATCTTAAACAGAGCAGTAAATTAGGCATATTTTCCTTTTTTGGGGGTTTTCCAACCTTGAGGAGACAAAAACGTCTTTATTTGTCATAACATGATTAATAGGCATCATGTACTGTCATGAATTTTCCTTTGTAATTTGAAAATGTGGCTGTTTTATAGTTTTTTAACTGAGCAGGAACATTTCTGTAGCTCATCTCTGCTCTGTACCCTTGGTGAGCTGCATTGTTCAATAGCTTCATTAGGCAGTACGGTGAGAAGGACTATCCGTCATTGTCAAGATATGGATGTTTGCCACTTTATTATTACAAACTCGTGTCCTCTCCGAGGACTATTGACGAAAAACTCTTTAGGATTATTGCACATGCCACCTTCATATACTAAGGGTAGTGGATGCATAGTTGGTTTCATTTTCATGTATTAAAACTATTCATATGAAAGTGTCTAATGTTCCATTTCCCCTCTTTTATGTTTTCCAGCTTACGGACCTGATGATGAATTTAAAGTGGATAAGATTGATGAAGAGGAACATCTGCAAGATGATGGCCTGTCCCTGGATGGTCAAGATGCAGACTACCTTCTTAATGATGATGAGGACGCAGGAGATACTTTTAGCTGCCAGAACTCTCCACTTAGCAATGGCACTAACCCAGATGCTGGATATGCATCTCCACTCAGCACCACCAGCGATCAAATGGTGGACCATAAAACCACGCCCTCCTTCAGTGATCAGGACAAAATGAAGGAGAAGTTAGGGGACAGCACAGAGTCCATTAACGGCCTCTCGCTACAGGACAGTCTGGCACAAATGAAAGCCGTCTATGCAAACCTGATCTCCGATGCTTCTTGGTCCAGCATTGCTCTGGATATGCTTAAAAGTAAACAAGGGAACAATTTCACAGCTAGCAATGGAAATGGAAGTAATCATAAAGGGAGCAATGGATTTCTGAAAAGTCACAGTCCAGGCAACATCAATGTGAAGAGCAGATGTAGCAACAGCAATGCTTCAGCCACCACTAATATTAACACCAGCAGTACTACCACCAGAACAGTATCAAGCAACAGCAACAGTGGCACCAGTGTCAGCTCTGGCAGCACGGGAGGATTAGCCTATGATTGGCACCAGGCAGCATTGGCCAAAACCATGCAGCATACCCCATACCAGCTCCTTCCTGAGCCAAGCCTGTTCAGCACAGTGCAACTTTACAGGCAAAACAATAAGCTCTATGGCCCGGTGTTTACGGGTGCCAGCAAGTTCAGGTGCAAGGACTGCAGCGGAGCCTATGACACTCTGGTTGGCCTGACGGTGCATATGAATGAAACGGGTCACTACCGTGATGACAATAAGGATAATGAGGATGATCGAAGCAAGAAGTGGTCCAAGCCACGTAAACGTTCTCTGATGGAGATGGAGGGCAAAGAAGATGCCCAGAAAGTTCTTAAATGCATGTACTGTGGCCACTCATTTGAATCTCTTCAAGACTTAAGTGTCCACATGATTAAAACAAAACACTATCAGAAAGTGCCTCTCAAAGAACCAATGCCAGCCCTTGCCTCAAAGCTGATACCCCCAACCAAAAAAAGAACATTTCAAGACATGATGATATCCCCAAGTTCACCAGATTCTGTCACACCTGGTATACTTATAGGAGAGTCTCCCAAAGACCAAAAAGTGGCTAATCCTTATGTCACTCCAAACAATCGATATGGTTACCAAAATGGTGCCAGTTATACCTGGCAGTTTGAGGCACGAAAGGCACAAATTCTCAAATGTATGGAATGTGGAAGTTCACATGACACCTTGCAACAACTCACAGCCCATATGATGGTCACAGGACACTTTCTCAAAGTAACGCATTCAGCCTCTAAAAAGGGTAAGCAGTTAGTTTTTGATCCTGTGGTTGAGGAGAAATTTCAGTCAATTCCTCTGCCACCGACGACCACACGACTTCCAGCACCAAATGAGAAGTCACAGCCTGAGTCCCCGTTGCAGCCTCCTAGCCCCGAGGAGGAAAGTGAAGATCATAAAGATAAAGTGGCAGAGGACGATGACATGGAAGCTAGGGAGCCAGTGAAAAAAATCAAGGAAGAGAAAGAAGATCTTTCAGAAAAAGCTGGAAAAACTGGAAAGACCAGATCTTACCAATATCTGAGAGAAGAAGACTTGGAAGAGGCGCCAAAAGGAGGCTTGGACATCCTTAAGTCTCTAGAGAATACAGTGTCAAGTGCAATCAGCAAGGCCCAAACTGGCACACCAACCTGGGGTGGATACCCCAGCATTCATGCCGCCTATCAGCTCCATGGATCTATAAAGTCAACCTTTCCTTCCTGTACACAGGTTCAACCTTTGTTCAGCAGCAACAGTTTGAAGGTATTGTCCTCTGACATTGGCACTCTGATTCATTCACCAAACAGCCCTTCTCCACCTCCAAGTCATAAGAGTAACGTGCTGGCAATGGAGGAGCTGGTTGAGAAAGTGACAGGAAAAACTTCAATAAAAAATGAAAAAGAAGAAAATATTGTAGACAGTAAGCGCAGGTCTGCGAAGTCTCCATTGCCAAATACTAAAGACAAACAGGTTTCACCCAAGTCAGATACTGTCTTAAAGGCAGTGAACATTACTGCAGTAGAGGACCAGATTGTGTCCAAAAGCAAAGGAGAGCAGACAGAGACTAAATCAGAGGCACAGATAAAGAGTGAAGTAAATTCCCCAAAAAGGCCTGTAAGCAATGGCTGCAACAACCTGAGTATTATCACAGATCACTTGCCTGAACAACCTCTTGTCAATCCTCTCAGTGCTTTGCAGTCTATCATGAACAACCACTTGGGGAAAGCTGCAAAAGTGGCAACACCCTTCACAGACCCATTTGCAATGCTGTATAAGATCAACAACAACTCTGCTCAGATGAAGACAGCAGAGCCTGTAAGTCAGTACCACGACGATGATGATGATGATAATCAGCCAATGGACTTGACCAAATCCAGAAACACCAATGGATGTAAACTTAAAGGTACCTCAACACCAAGCAGCAATGGCAGTGTGAACAATAACAAACCAGCCTTCAAAAACTTCTCCCAGTCTTCATCTTCTCCTCTGCGGGAGAATGCTTTGATGGATATTTCAGATATGGTCAAAAATCTGACAGGCCACCTGACACCAAAGTCTACGACCCCGTCTTCTGTATCTGAAAAATCAGACATCGACGGCTTTGCTTTTGAGGACAGTTTGGAGGAGTTATCACCCATCCAGAGACGGAAAGGCAGACAGTCCAACTGGAACCCTCAGCACCTCCTGATTCTTCAGGCTCAGTTTGCCTCTAGTCTAAGGGAAACTCCTGAGGGTAAGCTTGTGATTACTGACTTGGGGCCCCAAGAACGGGTCCACATCTGTAAATTTACTGGACTCTCTATGACCACTATCTCTCATTGGCTGGCCAATGTAAAATATCAGTTAAAGCGGACAGGGAGCACAAAGTTCCTGAAAAACCTTGACTCTGGCCAACCATTGTTTTTGTGCAGTGACTGTGCTTCCCAGTTTAGGACTCCCTCCTCCTACATTCACCATTTGGAGACCCATCTTGGGTTTACCTTGAAGGACCTCTCTAAGCTTTCAATAGATTTGTTAGAGCAGCAAGCAGTCAGCAGAATAGAGGACAAGACGTTCACTTTCTCTGGACTTTCTGAAGAAGATACTGGCTCAATATATCAGTGCAAACTGTGCAATCGGACGTTTCTGAGCAAACATGCAATCAAATTGCACCTTTGCAAGACACATGGAAAGTCACCAGAAGACCATCTTATCTTTGTGAAAGAGGTGGAAAAGATTGACAAAAAATGAAGTTAAAGCTGATAGCATGACAGTTTACTGTTGCACTATAAGCTACAATCTGTCATAACAGGTAGTGCCACGACTCTATAGGGTATTGTTGTGTCACATGTTGTAATGAAAACATGGTAGCTTTAATACCACATACTGTAATAATTGAGTTATCCACAACTGACAGGACTGCATTGCTGAGGCTTAAAGCTATGTTGTAAAAGTTAACTTTTGGTAACACAAACTTACCAAATAAGCTCAGCAGCCATGGCACTATGTAGTCACTGACTGATTGTTGCTTTTCTAATGCACTGCATCTTATCTGAGCCTTTGGGAAATGTCCGTCCATTGTGTTAAAACTGGACCATGCTCCTATTTTGATCACTGTTTTTGAATGGTTTTGTTAAGATAAAAAAGATTTCAACACAACCTGCATATTATTTATAAGACAGTTTGTGCATGTTTTTTTTTTTAATGAAAAAAAGGAAAGCATATTATGTCTCGTAAATTTCAACCATGATGTGAAAAACGGATATCCCTGTCGATATCTATTGGTGTTTATATGAAGGTATATGGATAAAAGTAAAAAAAAAAAATGGGATGGTTTCGCACTTTAAAGAAGTGTACATTGATGAAGAAATGTAATGGTAAGATTGACAACAACCCCTTTGAGTCTTAATTCCCTTGATCGACATGGAAACGTTGAGTACTAACAATGATATTGTTTTATATTTGAAATTAAATCACATACAATCTTAAAAATGGTTAACATATGTGTTTCTCTAGTAAATATTATTTCCTGGTTGTGTCCACATGTACAGTATTTGCATTTGTAGGCTACCAATTTTATTATTGTGAAACTACAGTTGTAAAATTAATGAAGTTTAAAACTTATTGTATGAATAATGGCAAGTATGTATCATGTATGTCAGCATATCTTGCTCTATACAGTTCAACATAATTTGTACTGTGTGCATTTTTATAATGTTATTTTCTAGACAAATATGGAGAAATGTATACAACTGCAGAATTCTGTTGGACCACATTGTCCTTTTTCAGTGAGAAGTAGGTCCTTCAATGTGCTTTACATAAAATGACAGAACTTTACTGGCATCTTCTCCGATGCATGGTACTGTATATAACATTTAAAAAACAATAATTCTCACAAAAAAATAGATATCCAGGTTTTATCATTCACTCAGTTATTCAGAATGACGTTCTTTTATCCTCAGTTGTAAAATAAACTCATTGTCCTGGACTTACCTGGTGTTGTTTGAGTGATTTAGAAAGACTGCAAAGTCCATAGAGATGTAATGAAGATTGAATATTATGCTCATATCTATGATTAACAGCACAATTATTATTTAATAGAGGCAGTGATGCAGAAATACTTCAGAAAATATTTTATTTCATCATTATTTCATATTTAAGTTCATCATCTACATTGATTTAACAAACATAAGTCCAACTGGAAGTCAAACAGTAATGACATAATCCATTCATGCTTTTAGAAAAGTATGGTTTTGCTTTGCAGTGACAAATGAATAAACATTTATAGAGAGGCTAAGAGGTTAGCACAACACAAAATCAGGGAAATGCCACCACCACGGATCAATATAAAATGGCTGTCTGGAGCACTGAAGCTTTTTAAGAGTTTTCAAATCTGTCAAAGGTTTACAAATGTGTAGTAACAGCATCAATAATTTCCGTTTGGAGAAGTGTGAAACCTGCTGCAAAAACCCTAAACAAATGCATTAACATCAAAAACACTGCACGGTGCAACATCCAAATATTAACAAATCCAGTAAATATGCTCCAAACCGAGTAAAACTTTTAAGTGCTGCCTTTTAGCTTTTGTGTGCAACTTTGAACCTTTATTTTTTTTTTCCCTTCATGTAACCTTGTTGGTATGACACCTTTTCAAATAAGTGTTATATGAATGTGAGCTTTTAAAATTCAGACCCAATGATGAACGCCAAACCAGTAAACGTGTATGAGCAATTTCAAATATAGACATAATCCCTTTTAGGGGGAAAAAAGTGATTAAAACATTGTCATGAAAAAAACAGGATTTGACTTTATGGTTTAACATAGAGCTAAGCTTTATAGTTCAGCTATGAGACACCTGATAAAAGAGGCCGTGGCATGTCTCCACTGACAGTATTTAAGTCGACATGCTCCCACCCCACGCAGCTCTTGAACACTAGCCTGAGGCACTTTTCCCAAGAAACAATAGAGTTCCAGAGCTTCACAGCATGCTCTGTGAAATTTAAGAATCCACGGTGAGAGATGCAGAAAAGAGTCATGTACAATAGAAGTCACAGACGCAAAAAACAGCGACATTCAGGAGCATGATAGAAGGTACTGTGAGCGAAAGGAAGGACTCATGTTAGGAATATAAAGGACCTTTTACTTTACTTTCATACATAATTGTGTCGTTTAGGAGAAAACTCATACTACGAGAAAATGGCCTATAAAGTAGTTCAAAAGACAATTTATGCTCAGACCATTTTTTTTCTCCCTAAACATTCTTGTATAGTTAATTTTTGCAATGAGGCTGCTCTAATTGGCAGATCAAAATTTTAACAATACTATTTATTAATAGAAAAATGTGTTATCTTTTTTGTTACTTACCAAGAACTGTGTTTCAGAGAGCCACTGCATTGGCCACTTATCCTGCAGCCCTATCAGTTGAAGAGGGCCCTACATAGCACAGACTGCAACAAAGCAGCAGGGCCGGATGGGGTCCCGGGCCGTGCATAAGTGCCAACCAGCTCGCTGCAATCTTCATAAACACCTTTAACCATTCTTGACAACTAGTGACAGTTCCCACCTGTCTGAAAACAGCAACTATCATCCCAGTGCCCAATACATTATGCAGTCTCAAGAATGATTACTGGCTGGTTACCCTGACTCTGTTAATCATAATCACAAGTTTGCATACAAGACCAACAGATACACAGACGCCACCATCTCACTTGCACTACACACAGCCCTCACCCACCTAGAACATCGCAACACTTTATGTCAGAATGCCATTTGACGTCTTCAGTTCTGCTCTCAACTCGATCAACCCGAGCAAACTTGTCAGGTAACTACATGCACTGCAGCTAGGAACCTCCTCTTCTTATGGATCAAGGGCTTTCTGACAAACAGACCTCAGACCGTCAGACTTGGAAACAACATCTCTTCCTCCATCATTCTCAAAACCGGTGTACCCCAAGGCTTCGTCCTAGGTGCATACCTCTTTCCCCTGTACAATGACTGCACACCCCCTCTTAGCTCCATACAGTGTCTAAATTAAAATTGATTTTGTAAATTACATCAATGAGACAACACATGAATCTGTCAGTTTTCTTTTTAATACTTGGTCTCTTAAACAATCTTAACATTGTCACCATGGATACAAAAGCTGCGTCTATGTCAGGCACTTGATGCTTTGTTTGTTCGCTCTCGAATCTTGTTTGCTTTAAAGGTAACACAGATAAATCGGCTCGATGTCATCACCATAAGCAGGTTAGCAGAGACTCACGAGACAACCGCACCAATCTGATGTGGAACAAAAGGGTGTTTATGTCAAGAGGCGTCGCGATGCAGCCTGTTATCCATTTAAAATAATCAACACAGAAAGCCTTGAGTTACTGTAAGCTGTTCTCCTGTGTTGTAACATCTGTTCATGCATGAAGGGTTACATGTCAGCAGAATTCACAGGAACGTGTGATCTTTGTGACATGCATTTGAAGTGGACTCAAACCGACAGCATGGAGTCGCTGAATTAACCTGCTGCTCTGTTGTCCTTCCTTATGCTTCAGCCCTCCGTTGTTCAGCTGTATACGACAAGACCATTTTTTCTAAGCACATATGCTTTGAGATTCCTCTACTCCGAAATGTTATTTATTCATAGAATGTATTTAATATGGACAGTGCACATCAATTGACATATTAGCAATACACATTAGTGTAAATATGACAGAATTAGCCCAAAAGCTATTCCATTCACCTTAGTCCTAAAGCAGGTACTTACAAAAACATACAACAGATTTGACAATTAAAAAAACTCCTCACAGGAGAATCTACAAGACAGATCTAACAAAAGCTCACAAACAGTTTTACACACAAAATGGACAAATATGTTACATCAGGGGTTCCCAAACATTTCAGCTCGCGACCTCCAAAATAAGGGTGTCAGACCCTGAGGACCCCCACTGTCTTGGAGTTGGTTTAGGCATATAACGTAGCAAACAGCCACTAACACACAAATAGGTCTATCCAAACACTGATAACAAAGAAGAACAACACGAAAGATTACAACAGCCTAAAAACCATACAATTATTAGTAAATCAAGTTTAGAAAGGCTAGCAGCAGATTATAATTTCCATGCATGTACTTTAAAGTGGATATAAAGCATGAATAGACACAGCAGTGTGTGCATCTTTATGTGTGATGAGCAGCAGACACCTACAATGTAGCTGATATGTGCAAACTTACATTTCAAGTATTTTCAACTGGATAATTTCCTTTTCATTTCATTATTGATAATATTATCTATTTTGTAAGAATTTCAAAATAATTTTTGGCAGATCGAGAGCCCAAAAACAGGCCTAAAACGAGGAAACAGATATTTTGCATGCTTACATGACTGTTTTTTTTATTACCACTGATTGAGTTTTGTTTTAAAGTTAAGTAGTTGTCAGAGGACCTGATATGTGCTGGTAATTTGTTTCAGAAATGTGCGCCTCTAACAGACACCACCCTTTCACTACATTTAGTTCTGTACATTACAGCCTCCCCTCGTTGGTGCTCTGGTATGTCTCCTTCTGTTGGAAAAAACCATGAGGAACCATGTTTCTGTTTTTTATTTTATTTTAGACTTGAAAGAAAGTCTAGGTTTGATTTCAGTAGTTGACCATTTTTTTTAAACATAAAACTTAGTAGCTAATTAGCCAATGAGGGCAGGTATATGTAGGGGGACACAAGTCAAATCTGACCTGTGGTTCCTTTCCTGCATGTCATTACCTATCTCTCTCCCAAGTATCCGACTCTATCCACTATCCTGTCTCTCCAAAAAAAAAGGCGTAATCAGCCCAAAAATACATCTTTAAAAAAGGCTTGAAAGAATACTCATTTTTTTCAAAGATATGTTGGGACCTTTTTTTTGCCTTTATGGATAAGATAGCTGAAGAGAGAGAGGAAATGTTGAGAGGAGAGAGTGGGGGTTGACATGCAGCAAAGGGGTGAGGTCAGATTTAAACCCACAGCCGCTGCAACGAGGACTACAGCCTCCGTACATGTTGCATGTGATATAACCACTAAGCCTTAGTGCCCCTTAAAAGTTGTTCTTAACATATTAACTGATCTTTTTATATCTTCAGTTATTGAACCAGAGTAAAAACCCAGAGGTGTGAGGCCTTTAAATGCTTTTTTTAGTTTGACCATTCTGAAACCCCAACATCAGGTTTAAACAAGTGAAAGGTCATCATTCTTCATATTTGACCCAAGCGTTATTTTGAGTAAAATCTTTTATCTAGAGATGCATAACCATCTATTATCAGGCCATACATCTCGTGTATTCAGATCAGCAACTCCTTCAGAATATAATGGGTTTTTCTGCCCATTTTTCAACTTCAAACTAATTAAAGTTAAAGTTTCATTAAAGTTGGGAGAGTATTTTTCAGTACCTAACACATAACCTAAATCTTTATTTCTATTACACTTAAATTATTCAGTCAGAATGTATTGATCTTTCACATGCCTTCTCACATTTTATTTATTTTTTGCTGTTGAGTGTTTAAATTGTAAATTAGTAGCAGAAATGTCTCTGCTTTGATTGTGTTGGAAGTTTCAAGCTATTAAGGCTTCTTTCCCACATAAATAAATATACCTGAGATGTCAGACTGGTGTCCCTCTGCTGCTGCCATTCTGATGGCAAAACAATATAGCACCTTAGCTTTTTTGTGGAAACATTAAGCCTCGATGTAGGATTTGACGAGAAGCTGAAGGTTTCAAATCACCCGAGACATCTCATCATGGACAGAGAGTTCAATCCGATCGCTTGTTGACACACTCGTCCCCGCTGAGATCTGCAGGCAGTCAGAACCGTCGTGTAAAGTGTTGTGTACCTGTCAGGGACGAGCCTTGTTCTGGAAGATACACAAGACATAATTCATCAGGCCGAGGCAGAGGCTCTTGAAGAATGGAGAAGTGACAAAGTCGCTCATTTGAGAATAATGATGGCTGCCAGCATGCTGAATGGATAG